GTCTTCAGCTGGCTTTGGACTCTCTGATGACTCATCAATGATCAGAATATCCTCCTCCGGACTCTTCGGTGAGTCGGGAATATTTAAAATACCCTTCTCTGCTGGTTCGGGACTCTCCGGTGAGTCGGAAATATTCAAAATCCCCTTCTCTGCTGGTTCGAGACTCTCCAGTGAGTTGGGAATATTTAAAATACCCTTCTCTGCTGGTGCGGGGCTCTCTGGTGAATCGAGAATATTCNGAATATTCAAAATACCCTTCTCTGCTGGTGCGGGGCTCTCTGGTGAATCGAGAATATTCAAAATACTCTTCTCTGCTGGCTCGGGACTCTCTGGTGAGTCGGGAATGCTGATAACATCCTCCTCTGCTGGCTCAGGACTCTCTGGTGAGTCGGGAATGCTGATAATATCCTCCTCTGCTGGCTCAGGGCTCTCTGGTGAGTCGGGAATGCTGATAATATCCTCCTCTGCTGGCTTGGGACTCTCCGGTGAGTCGGGAATGTTGATCACATCCTCCTTTGCANCTGATAACATCCTCCTCTGCTGGCTCAGGACTCTCTGGTGAGTCGGGAATACTGATAATATCCTCCTCTGCTGGCTCAGGGCTCTCTGGTGAGTCTGGAATGCTGATAATATCCTCCTCTGCTGGCTCGGGGCTTTCTGGTGAGTCGGGAATGCTGATAATATCCTCCTCTGCTGGCTTGGGACTCTCCGGTGAGTCGGGAATGTTGATCACATCCTCCTTTGCAGGCTCTGGTGAGTCGGGAATATTGTCAACTTTCTCCTCGACAGAGTTAATATTGTCAGATGGCATGTCAACAACCACAGGCTTTTCGATTGACACATCAGGTGTTGAGTTGTTGATTGTGATGTGTCCAAAAGCAATGGAGTAGAACTTCCAGATGAAACATTCACAGGTAAGTCCCCATCTGATGTCTCCTTCTGGTCCGATGCCTCCCCATCTGATGTCTCTACTTCGGAGGTGCCCTCAGGATCTCCAGCCTCAGATGAAGTTGCAGAAAAATAAACCACACCAGGCACAAACTCCTCATCAGTTAAACTATCGTACTCATTTTCTGAATTGGAAGAGTGCACTGATCCCATCACTCTCAATGGCACATCTCTTTTCATTTTTTCAGAACTCCTCACGTTATCCACAAAATTACGAATTGTAATTATCTCCAAAGTCGAAACTTGCTCAGTTGGAGATCCACCAACACTAGACATAGCAGTAGAACTCTTCACACTTGACTCACTGAATCTAAAATGTCCTGCACTGTGCGAGCATGGGGTTTATAAAACTAACTGACGGGGTCTTCATAACGAAAGCGTCATCTTCGGGTTGACTCCCACCATCTGATTATTCACACTTTTTTAATCGAGGGGGTATAGAGACATCGGATAAAAACCGAAGAACATACTAGCCTACCGAGGGAGACGTTGGTATTACCCCTCCTCTCAAACGCCATTTTGTTCAACGGTTATTGCATCATGCCACGAAATATAAACCAGACTTTGAAGAAACGTCATCATCGTATCGTAACGGTTATTGGATTAATATTATGAAT